ATATATATATATGTATATATGTATATATATGTATACACATACATACATATTTGCTGTGTGCATTGTGCTACAATCTACACGTGCAACATCAGGGTTAAGAAAAGTTTATCCTGTGAGCACTATTCGCAAGGGCACTATAGGGCACTATTTCTTTAAAGTGCTGAAAGACTAAAATGGCTTTGTCTGGATAATGGTGCACAGAGCTACAAAGCAGCTCGGAAAATGGCCCAGGACCTATCGGGTGGAACGCATGGCTTTTGAGCTGTTTGTCCAAGCAGCTTGACTTCATCTTCCATCAGCTGCTCAGAGCGCAGAAGCCAGCTGCTGAGGCAGCTCCCCTGGCCTGGTCACTAGTTCTACTAATTATTGATGGAAGAACAGAGAAAATTAAGCAATTAGAACTATTTGTAGCAACACACTTGGTCTGAGTTACCTTCTTATTTTAGCTGTTTGTCGGACCTTTCAGTGAAATCCTTGTTTGTAAATTATTGTTTCTTAATAGGTAAAAGGAATTGCTATATTGCTTTTAATTTTTGACTTCTGAAGTTCTTTATGAGTCACAGGGGAGAGATATGTCACCAAGCCAGCAGGCTTAGCTTCTTGGGAATATTACGAAGAAATATTTGGCTCCTGAATCAATATTTAGCTTTGGGACACTGGAATAGTAGCAGGCCATAGAGCTGTTGCAAACCAAAACCAATGCACTTGCATCTAAATGCTAACACAGGTGAATTCTCCCTGGAAAATTAACTGCAGTTTCCTTTGTTGCTTACACTTAAATGAAACTATTGGGCAAAATACACAAACTGCTGAATTCCTCTCAATCGTGTACAGTTTATGTTTGTGCTACAAGTGAAGAGCAGGCTTGCATTATCACTGCCAGGTCATCAGGACAAGCAAAACCATGTGCATAGCCTATGAGGAAAAACTGAAAGGGAAAAGAATCTTTATTTGCTTGAAAGGCTTCTATTACAAATACAGGTAGTAACTTTTTTATTATTTGTATGAGTGTAATAGAGCAACAAGAATGTTATGTTTAGCATCTCTTCAAACAGGGATGAATCCAAAAAGGATAAATGGCCGTGAATTTTCTCAAAACTTAGAGACTGAACGCATCCAAGGTTTGACATAGGTTCACAGTGGATTTTAAAGCCAAAATCTACCATTAGACACACAAATCCTGCTCCGTGAGCAGATAAAGACATTTGAACTTACTTGTTCACAGAACTTGACCATACTGTTTTAAGAAAAGTTCCATAGGTGTTTTGTGATAAGCTTATTACTTGTACTAGGGTGCCTCATTCTACTAACAAAAGAGCTCCAGTCTGCAGTCCGTTACACCTCAGTGACTGTCTTGTGTAAACACAGTTAAATCCATAAAGTGAAGCACACAGGAGTTGGTTGCAGTTAATTCCGTACCAGACTGTAGGCTTTCCCACAAAACAAACCAGACAGAGTTTAACAAACCTTAATTAAACAAAGTCTTAGTTAATCAGGAGGACAGCTTAGTTTTGATAATAATTTACTTTTGGCCAAAAAGAAGGGGGATCTGTGCTGCTTTTTTGAAACCTGTTATTTTACAGTGTCAAGACTGGCAGTAACATTTTCAGTGCTCTTAACTGTATCTCATTGGGGTCCTTGCATACACCAGGGAATTCAGAAGGAAAGACAGTAACATACACCTTATACCAGACAAAAACAAGACTGTATCGTGTAATTTAATTTCATGTTCTGCCATAACTGAATGATGCATCCAAAATTTTGTTTAATGCCAGGGTCCAAGAGGACAACCAGGAGATGCTGGCCCTGCTGGGGAAATGGGTTTTGAGGTAAACTTTTAAGCATCTGCATGTGTACTTACCAAAAACGCTCAAAGGACAGAATCTTCCTGGACCATCTGTTCAGGAATTATTTTTGTTTTACCTGGACCTGACTTAAATAACATGAACTATTGAGAATTTCCTTTAAAACTGTTACACAAGTAATGTCTAAAATGAGCAACTTCTCTTTTGAGCCCTATCTTTAAGCAAATTTGCCTGACATCTTTACATAGAGGTTCAAAGCTAAGTTGAGTGTAAAGCGTTTTTTTTTTTTTTTTTTTTTTTTTTTTTTTTTTTTGTGGAAGAAGCACCATTCTTGACGTTAGCCTGCCCAAGAC